GTAGGGGTAAAATAAGAGTCAAATATAAAAACAATGAGTATAATACTATTTAATATGTTCTGGGGGGGTATGTTTAGACCTGAAATTGCATTACAAAGACCAATAGAAAGCAATATACTATATAAAATACCACAGTATATATTATTATTAAATGTAAATGTAAATGTAAATGTCAAAATTACTAAAAGGTAGCAAGGATCAATTTGTAATGGTCTCATAAGTAACTCTAATAAATTCAAGAATTATTAATAAATGTTTGACCACCTTACCCCAATGAGAGTAAAAGACAACAAATTGAGGAATAAAAGAATAATAATATTAGTTAAAACCTGTGCACGCTTATACCATGGTATACCGGGGCGGGTTTGTACAAAAATGTCACCTTATATGTAGTCAATTAAAAATCATTTTTGTAGTACACCCATTGTAATAATTAGGGCAGTAAAACAAGCTTGAAAATGTACCAAATTAAATATAAGAAATAACAATAATAATAATAAGAAATAATAATTAAGAAACGTTAATAAATTTACGGGTACATCACTCCTTTGTGGTCCTCCCTGCAGTCTAAACATCAATTATCAATTTCCATTGCTGTCTCATGACAGCCTCACAGCCCTGATAATAGACCCCATCAACTTCTAAGTTTCGGTTTCAAGTCAGTATTTTGGGTACTCTGACACCTCAACTTCAAGACTAGCAAACCGTCGAAAGGGAAGAACCCAATGGTAAGGTAAAATCTAAAGTCCTAAAACCTAAAACCCTGAAAGAGTATAAATTCTTAGAACTCCTTCATACTTATAATACATATTATTACATCCATTATAAAATTAATATAGGAAAATCCCCTGAAACCCGTAAGTTTCCTTTTGAAAACAATTCCCCTTAATTAATTAGCCCATTAATGCCCCTTTTGGAAGTGACTAATGAGTTTTTTACTGACAAATGGCCGCTCGTGGAGGTCAAATTGCCTTTTTTTTATACAACAAAATGGCGTAGATTCTTGTCTCTAGAAAATTCTGAGTGGTTGGCTTACAAATACGGGGACTTACGACCAAATCAAAGTTTCACCTCAAAACCAATAATTAAGCCAGCAACCACTTGAGTTTCCAACGCCTCGAAAATCCCACAAAAGGTGGATGTTCCAAGAAACTTAACAAAGAGGACCGACCGCTAGTAAAATCTGCCACTTACTTGCTCAACGTGCGAATTTAAATAGAAAGACCTTATTTTCAGCGATTTATTAGGTGAGCTCAATATGAAAAATTTACCAGAATTCCATTTTTTTCCAAGATGCCCTCTGGTGCCAGATTTCCGGTCTTGGCCAGGAAAACGGAACAATCAGCTTGGAACGGAACAACCCAGACCACATTGATGACAAACGAAACCGAAAATCATCCAATTTTCTCCCCTAACACTAATTATTTAATTAGTAACTTATTAATCAGCATCTTTAGTCTAAAAACTATCAAAATGACCAGTCGTTCATTGGTCACAACTACAGTGACTCTATTACCCACAGTGGTCAAGAAACCTCGACAACAGCGCTGCCTGAAACGGATCCACAAGTGTCCCTTAACCACACTTATTCTGCGGAAATAAATAACCAGGAAAATGTGAAAAATAGTGGAAATAAGGGTGAAAAAGCGATTTAAAGGCTGTGAAAGTGATGTGTGATGTTGCAGAATTTTTAATAATGGAAAATACGTGACTCGTAAGTGTTACCAATTGATATTTATTTGGAAATAAACAAACCTTTTCATCGACATTTAGGGCCTTCTAGACAACTTTCTTAAGCTAAATGAAATAGATTTCGATCCTAACAGTAGGGCTTTATTAGCCTAAAACTACCCCGTCATCTGAATACAAAGAATTTACTCATTATTACCTCGAAAAATATACCCTTGTTCAACAACTAGATATTGTTTCGCATCCAACCAAAGAAGTAGAAATCTAGTAAAATCCAATGAAAAACCTATCAAACACTGAAAAATATTAATCCTCAGGTATAAAGCTTCATAAATCTTCTCACAAATACCTGAATTAATTACTGAATTCATTCGAAATTTTCAGTTGCGTATTAGGGCAAAATTTGAACGTAACATGCTGTAGTAACAAGCCTGTGCCAAGTCATTAACAGAAATAACTCTGTACCTAGAAACGCCCACGAATTTCAGTCTTTCCTACAAACAGCAAGTTGGTATCGTCGTTTCATCGAGAACTTCAGAGCAAAATTCTTTTGACACTCTAAAAACCCTCTTGCAGGGGCGTAGATACTTTACATTTCTGGGGGGGGGGTAAAGTTAGGGAAGCCGGGAGGGGGGGAGCCGGGAGGAGGGGGAGCCAGTGGAGACCCGGGGTGGGGGGGGGGGGGGGGGTTCGGAGAAAAATTTCAAGCTCATTTACTTTTCCAGAACTTGACCTTAGTACTATTATTTAAGTAGGTACATACCAGGACCCCACACACTTCTTATGGAATTTCTGACCGCGATTAAATTTAACCAAATTTTAGTCGGCTTCGCACTCTACGGAGCGGAACGGTATGAGCATGGATATCGTGACGTCATAGGCAGAGTGAGCTCTAAACAAGTATGTAAGCCGAACGCAGATCGAAGAAAAAAACAACAGAATGGTGTAAATGGCCAAATTCATGTTCTGGAAATGTACTAAAGTTAAGCTGATTCACTGTTAGTGTAAAACTGGGGCAGCACGGCTTTTACTAACAATACAGTAATAGATAATAGATACAGTTTTCTAAAAATAAATTTTTACTCATTCTAGCAGCTAGCTTTGCAATTTGCAAAGAACAAAGAACAAGAACAAAGAATTTTTATTTGATATTAATATCTATTTTACTTAACCTGGAAGCCCCAATATTTTTTATAATAAAATATTAGTTTTTTTTTAAATTTACCTAAAAAAATAGAAGACTGGGGGGGTAATTACCCCCTCTACCACCCCCATATCTACGCCCTTGCTGCTCCGATTTAGCAGCAGTGTGACGAGACCAAACCGTTCATTATCCGTACCAATGCCACCTGTTATGCTCTTGGAGCTGTTCTCCTTCAAGGTGAAGAAGAAACGGAACACCCTGTTGAGTACGCTAGTCGGCTGTTGACTAACACCGAGAGAAACTACTCGACTACTGAGCGGGAAGCATTAGCAGTAGTATAGGCACTAAACAAATTCCGAGGCTATATTGAGTGTTCGCCAATCACGCTACAGATGGATCACCAACCCTTGCGATGGCTGTTGAATATCAATTCGCCCACCGGCAAACTCGCTTGTTGGGCTTTACAAATTCAAAGTTTCGACCTAAAAATCGAGTATTTGCCAGGTAGAAGAAACGTCATAGCTCTCTAGACCTCCATGTTCCCATAAACTTGAGAATAATTGTGAAATCTGTACTATAGGTATTGAGCTACCCCACCATAGTGCCTTTGAAATCAGAGAAGAACAGCTAAAAGACCCTGATCTTGTCAAAATCATACAATGTTTTGAAAATCATGATGATACTGACATAAACTTCCGTAAATGGACAGACAGAGGCTTTATTATGTCCCAGGGAGTTTTATATCGTTATTTAGCCGAGGATGACGAGGAGGAAGCTCGGTTAGCTGTGCCAGTGCACGAGCGAGAAAAAATTCTGAAAGAATATCATGACGCACCTAGTGCAGGTCATTATGGCTTGGAAAGAACTTATCAACGAAGGGCTAAAAGATATTATTTCCCTGGTATGCGCCGTTTTATCGCCGAATATCTAAAAAACTGTATAATCAGCGATTTGAAACCCTATAGATAGTATAGAGTATAGACTTACTCGGGCCTTTATCGTCAGGTGTCAGGGATGAAAAGTTGATTTTCATTGTGGAAGACTCTTCCACAAAATGGGTTGAGTTATTTGCCTTAACACAAGCTACATCGGAAGAGTGTGCCAATAACCTGATTAATGAGATATTCTTCAGATATGGACTACCATGCAAATTAATCAGTGACAACGGCGTCCAGTTTATCTCCGCCGTTATGCAACAAGTTTGCTACATTCTGGGCATTAAACAAACATTTATACTTTTATACCATGCTGCTGCAAACATGGTAGAATGGAAGAACAGAGATCTTAAAGTCAGACTCGCCATACTTGTCAAAGAAGATCATGTTAATTGGCCTGAAAAGTTACCAATAATTAGATTTGCTATGAACTCAGCTATGTGTGAGTCCACCGGACAGACAGCAGCGTATTTAAATTTTGGAAGGGAATTGAGAAGTCTAGATGACATTGAATCCGACATTCGCACAGTGGTGGAATCGGAAAATTTTGTTCCTCAAATCACACCTTATCTAAGCAAAATGCCTTTGATTTGAAAGGGCGCTAGAAGCGTACACAGAGTTTGGGTCACTGTTTATGCGCTCAGTAATGCTGCAAAGGGAGTAACATCGAAATTTTATCCAAAACCGGACGGCCCAATACGAGATTGTTAAGATCGTTTCTCCTACAAGCTATCAAGTAACCAACCCCAAAGATCCAACCGTGCCACTGCGAATCTGTCATGTTGGAAGTTTGAGTCGTGCCAATGTAATTGAGGAAGAATTGCCAGTTGTGCCTTTAAGAAGGAGATGCAGACCCACAAAGCAAAAAAGTACTTCTGGTCTCTCTTCCTCTTCCAGATGAGTTCAAGACCAGGGAGGGAGAGTGTAGCAAACAGACCTTGAGACGCCCCTGGATCGTCTAGTTTGTTAGAATTTGTCATTTTTTTTACAATGATTGATTAATTGTCAAGTTGTTCCCGTTTATGAGAAAACGCACATAATCTTTCATAGTAAATTTAGTTATTCAGTCAATATTTACGTGCCTAGTTGTTTAAAAGGGGTGAGATTTTATTCTGCTTTCCTGGAACCCACTTAGAACTTTTACAAACCTAAATTACTGGAAAAAGGTTGAAAATTTGGGTTAATTTATTTGGTGATTAGATTTGAATTTCATAGTTGAATAAAACACCAGATACTGTCATTTATAATTATTACAATTATTTATTTACAAAATATCACATTGTTACAAACCTTTACAAATACGAGGAGAACAAAATTTATTTTAACAAAACTATGAATTACCTCTAATAAGGGCATAGCTTTATCTATTTAGAGTATTTGTTCTACTAAAATTAGCATCCCTAGGTATAAACATTGACTATGCATAGGTTCCACCGAATCCTTTGCAAGTCAGAGTAAAAAATAAATAAAAATGGTAACTAAAAGAAGTACCATGAGTTAACATTGATCGTTCATCAGGAAAAAACGTGTTTTTCTTAAAATAATACTTGGTGTGTGATTAAAACTGGACACATTTCTGATGTACATACATGGTACAAACAAAAAATAAACTAGAATTTAAGATATAAACTTTTTAAAAAGAAACGCAAAAGATACTTAATATAAAATTTCGAGAAAGGATTAACAGTAATATAATATCGATCACTTGAGACCAAAAATAACTATCATCACTAAAAATTAATACCTAAACTAATTGATTTAGATAATTCAAATTAAGTAAGTTTATTTTTGGTATGTAACACCTAACAAAAATTAATAAATATTTATTTATTAAATAATATAATCTCGAATAGTTTTAGATATTACTAAAAACTAATTTAAACCCTGTTTTTGGTATCTTTAAGTTTGTTTCAACAAGGAATCATCACCTTAGTTTCTCAAATGATTTGTGATTATCACTATCAAATAAACCGTTTAAAAAATTTCCTAAATTATACCTATTATTATCAATGGAATGGACAAAGAAATATCTTTTTTACTAAATTATGAATAATAGTTATAATAAAATATTAAGTTTTATTTATAAATAATTAATTCATAATATTCTAGATTAATCCATACTAGATGCAAAAGGTTTAACTCATGAATTCTAATTCTAATAAATATAAAAACCGATCTTTTTTTTTGTTAAAATAAAATTTTTGGCTATTAATTTTATAAATGAATAAATTCTTCTTCTACATGTTGAATTATTCTTTCGCATCGAGTATGAATTAATCTGAGCTAAAATATTATGCATATTTATCCATATTATAGGAACAAACTAAATTAGTTAAATTAAAGTCACCGGCTCGTTACCACTGAAATATTCTCAGAGCTAACCGTGAAAGCATGATTAACTAATCCACTATGACTAGAATGCTCTACATCCTTCTTAGTTCCTCTGAAGTAAGCTTCAATTTCATCCAAACTCTGGCCCTTAGTTTCCGGTAGGACATACTTACAAAACAGCATGGATAATACGGAAGCTCCAAAAAATGTAAATATGGTACCACCAAAACCCAAAAAGTCCACCATGTTGTTATAAATTTTAACACAAATAAAAATAAATATTTGTGCAATGCATATTACCACCCCGGCCATTATTGGACGCACCCTTAAGGGGAACATTTCACCAACTAAAATCCAAGGGATCGGTAGCATGCCTATCATTGAAAAGAAAACGTTAAATACTATACAAAATAAAGGTAAAAGACTTAAAATACGCTCCTCATTCGGATTAATTTCGTAATATTTAATATAAAGTCCTAAAATAAGTACTGACAAAGCCATCCCAAAGCTCGAAAAGGTACATAAAGTTTTCCTGCCAGCTTTTTGGATGAGTACCGCACAAGCTATTGACATAGCAAATCTAATAGTACCCACAAAGATACTTGAAATATAATTATTAATCTTCAAATCGGTTTCTCCGAAAAATTCCACGGCATAAAAAAGAATGCTGTAGATTCCACTAAGCTCTTGAAGCAAAAACAAGACGATAAGCAAACAAAATGGTTTAACAGTTTCAGGACTTAAATACAACTCTTTGAGGGGTTTTTGCGATATTTTGTCTATAATATCACCAGTTGAAGCTTTTTTCAGTTCTTGTTCGGCTGTCGCAACGTTTCGACTGAAAAACATGTAGGCTTCGAAGGCTTCAGAGTTACTGGTCATGTTTGCACCGTTGTTGATTTTCACTAGATGGGCAGGACTATCTGGCATAAACTGGATGGTAACCTGGAAAAATGATGAGGTATTAGGACTTTGTTGAAAGAATACTTGAATATATTCTAATGGTGAAACGGCCTTTGCTTGAATAACATACAATATTGTCACAACCCCTATACGTTTCGTCCTGGGTGGTCACAACAGGAGCGTGACTTGGGGGCGTAGGTGGGGTTCAGGTAGAGAGAAACTCGCTTGGTATGGGTATAATCATATGTGTATTGATTAATAATAGTTATTACCCTAGAAATGGTATCATGACGTCTCTTCTACGGAGGGACGTACTACTTAAGGGCCACTCTGTATTAATTATGTACCCTCTGTACAATTGGCGTGACTGAAGACTGAAACTAGGTTTGAGACAGATCCAGAAGGGCGTTTCCCATTAAAGGTAGTTTGCACTGGACCTAGTCTGCTGCGTTCAATACTCCCAGAGGGGCATTTCCCATTAAAGGTAGTTTGCACTGGGAGACTTAGCTAGAAGGGCTTTTCCCATTAGGGGTAGTTCGCACTAGCCTTAGTCTGCCGGCAATGAATTTCGGCGTTGTATTTATACCAAATAAATGCTGACTCGTCGACTAACTTTAGCAAAATTGATATACAGAGTGGTATTTACTTGAGTAGTTGACAATATTGATGTGGCGCTCACATAAATTTATACATTTGTTTTACTAATTTCTATTCCTGGCATCTGTTTTCTCCCCCTTTACGTGTTTTCTGCTGATTTAGAATTTTCTCTACGATTCCATGTTTTCTTTGACTTTTTTTGCTGGCATACCTTGTTTTGCCCCTTTTGTTATGATACTTTCAATACTTAGATTGAAATGATAGTTAGTCTGAACACCGAGCATAATCTTGCAATAAGTGAGTTTCTACTATCATGTAAATTTGTGAAGATCCCAAAAAGAGGGCCATAAATTACAGGGATTTTAAAGGGGAATTTTAGAAAAAATAGTTTTGGCAATTATTATCGACTTTAATAATAGACTACAAATAATGAGAGCAGTTTCACAGTTGTTTAATCAGGAGAAAGTATTCAAAATGATAACAGACTAGAAATAATGGAAGCAGTTTCACAGTTGTTTTATCAGCAGAAAGTATTCAAAATATTATCGATAATCTTTATTCCAAATTAGAAGATTGAATAAGTAAAACAAATTAGACAACTTGCAAAGTCCACGAGTGAAAACAAAAAAAATTAAATTCAATCAAATAACTTTATCTTAAATTAAATCCTAATAATCAAACTTATAATTGGAAAGTAATAAAGTAAATAAAATACTCTCAATAGTCTCACTTATAATTCTCTAAGTTCAAATTGAAATAATAATTATCGTAGTTATCTGTTTCGCTGCTTAAGCCAGCGATAAAGGTCAAAATTTAATCCAACAATTATTATATAGACCCCCCTCTATGGTCATCAGTTGTCTTTACCGAAGGCGGTCCGAGTGGAATAGTTACGCAACCGAAAGAGTTACGAGATTCCTGACCCTTTATATCAACTCATAAATCTAAACACCAAACGACATTAACTACAAGGCTTACTCGTTCAATTGTGTACACGCGCTGTCGGCGTTTTTGAATAGCGGAAACGGAAACGCAATTCTTGTTACATTACTCCGATAAACACTAAATTAGGACACGCAAGTGCAGGGGTCATTCGGAGATAACGATTCCTAGAAATAGAGGCGATGAACTTGAACTCACGCGGAGATTTATGGTGGGATTGAATACTATTTAAACAGGTTACAATGAGAGGAAGAAGCAATTGAAAAGTACATTTACATTTACTAGTAGAATGAGCAGAGATCAGTAGAAAGTGGCAGTGATTTGAGTCTCCTTCAAAAATATATTTTCTTTATTTCTGGCTCGCGATTTAATTGACTATATTGATAATTAAAAAGTTAGAAGTAAATTCAAGTCTTTTATTCGATTTTGTGCGTACTAAGCAATTAATACAAAAATACTTTGATAGTTAGAGCTAGTGTAGTTTAGTGAAGTTAATGACACTTATTATACTAAGTACATAAGATAATAAGACTTTTATTTGAATTTAATTGCAATGACTATGAATGTGAAATGTCTATGGAACATTATTGCAAAAATTTAATTGACTTTGAGTGAAATGACTTTTGAATATTTTTGCTAAGAGTTCAAATAGGAAATTATAATGCACTTAACGATTGCCGATTGATAGAATGAATTTATTGAAGATTTTGAATTGAATTTGACTATTGAAGATTAAGGGCTCTAGAAGCTAGTTGAAATTATTTAAATAAATTGTGTAATGTTGACCTGGAATTTGAAAAATAATATTTGTTTTGGATATTGTACCTATATGATCCTTAGTAAAAGTTTAAATCATTAAAAGTAGTGAAAAGTTTTAATTAAAACGTTTTGTACTTGAAGTAAGATGGTTGTCTAAATTGCTGAATTTTGGATTAAGTTTAATCAATTAGAATTATTTTGGTAATAATTGATCTGACTATGTTCATGATTATAAATGACTGTTTTGTATAAGGGGTTTCAAAATTTATAATTAAAAGTAAGGGTAGTTTTATTTAAAATATGCATCGAATCCATTTAGTAGGTATTGTGTAGAAGAATATATGATTTGGTTATAAGATATTGAGAGCATCGACATAGGGCTCAAGTTCCGAAAAATAAAGGAAGAATCTTGTAGGATGTTGAAGATTGAAAAGTGTTGTAGTAAATTTAATTTGCAAATATAGAGGTGGCTGTAATATTCTAGGAAAATATTAGTTTTATTACTTTGTACTGGCAACTTGGGTTTTCATTATTTAAGTAAAATAAAATATAATTGTGTAAACCTTACTACAGTTGTTTCTCTCATTGAATAGACCCCCTCTACAATTATATTAGTAGCTGTCCAAACCCAAGGAAATAAACACCATCATTAAAACCGCTCGCCATCTACCATCTACCTAATGAAAAGAGTACTTGGGTGGACAGCTACAAATGGCTGTATGTTATGATATAGGTAGTGAATCATCCTAACTGTACTATATTTAACTTATACGTTTAATCGGTTTTTGAACGTGTTTATATTAGGGGCGGTCACTGAATGCCTTCTTTCTTTTGTTGTCAGTTGCATTCTTGTCATAAATAAGCTCATACATTAACCGAGTTGGATATCATGGGCGGCCACATATCCAAACCTGTTAATATATGAGCCTCTTAATTGCCCCTGATGATGGAATTTACTAATTTCGAAACATGTAGGGCCGTTTAAAACGAATAGACTATTTATGGAGGAAGACTTAGAGCTTTTCTTTTGAATTAAATTTCAACTCCACTTTGAGATAGAACATTTCGAAACAAAAATTTCAAAGAGTTACATGTTAGGCTGATGGGGCGGTAATTCTCTGCCTTATGTCTGTCTCCTTTTCTGAACAGTGGTGCAACTATTGACATTTTCCACGGATCTGGCAGTCTTCCTAATTCTTGTAGCGTGCCAAAATTGCCTTTAACTATTTCACACTAATTTTCAGTTTTCCATTCAAAATTCCTATAGATATTTAATTTTTCCCTGATTTTATTAGGCTTTGTTTACATTTTTTCTTTATAAAAATTCAATAATAATTACAGAAATTAAACAAATTCTGGTAAATAATCTAAAGGGTGTTTTTTTTTTTAAAGATAAAATTCAAAATGACATTATGTTGGCAATACAATGTAAAATTGTTAGTGCTTTCAAATTTTTTATGTAGAAAAGGCTTGTGGCGCCAACATAGTTACCTACAGGCACGAAACTTGGTTTGGTTTTCTTTGCTTCTCCTAGCCATGCTGATGAGACCTGATAGGTCGAAACGCGTCTATGGATGGAAAAGCAGAGAAAATCAAGCCAAAAATGTTCTCATCATCAGTGGATAATAGGTTTTCCTATTCTGGGTTTTCCCACGAACTGAATTTTGGTCGGCCGATTAGATAGTCGTCACTATATTGCAGCAGAAATTGCTGTTTAGTGTTGAATCTTTGTCTTAGATGGCGCCACGATCAAATTTCGACCGTTGTACTATAGTTACTAAATTTTTGACTTGGGGAATTATCTTTAAAAAAAAAAAAACAGAATTTAATCTTTATTATTTAAATTCTATTTTCACTTGTGAGTAGTTCTTGTTGACGACTAATTATTTTCCTCGGTTTTAATCAATATTTTGATTCCATTTTTCTAATTAAATCTCAAGAAGTTAAACAAATCAAGTATTTCTTATTCTGGGGTTAGGTTTTTCAGATCGTGGTCCGTTCACGAAGTGTGTACTGCAAGCTGCACGTACTCTATTCGGTTGCTGAACTCAGTACCTACCAGATTTAGTTCTGTTTCCGGTTCCATCATTGGTTCCATAAACCACCGGATTGCTCTCTATCTTATAGTGACACTTAATTCATGTCACTCATGATTTGTGTGCCAGCTGACGGCAGAAATGTCGTTCATTTTTGTCAATAGGCCTTTCAATTAGGCAATCCAAACCATGTGACTTTTTTTGACGGATTGTTGGCACACAAAAGATTTTCTTGAGGCGATTTTCAGCCTGGAATGATTATTATTTGGTTATAATCAATGCATTTCCGCCGTCGCGGTTTTAACCAAAGTAGGGGAAGTTGTGACGTCACATATCAGCTGATTTGCTTTTGGTATTTACCACTTATAACCGATTATAACCCAGCTTTGGACTTGGGTTAATCTTTTGGTTACAGCTTTTTGATGTTATTGTTATTATTTTTGGAATTTGTATTGGTGTTTTGTGATTTTGCAGTTGCGTTGTAGCCTGGCACAATGGAAGAAGTATACATTCACTCACTCACTGCAATTCACCATGTTTAGATCGAGGTTTAGATCATCCCCAAAGAAAATCTGTTCGATAAACGAGAGTAACGAGAGATTCAGCTCCATTTTTTGTACCTAAACAAAAAACTATTGTTGAAATGAAAAAACAAATAAGAATAATAAACATAATCCTACACTGCTATAACCAAATCATTTCAGCGGTCAGTTCCTTGGGTTATGATTCTTGAATGGTGGGGGGCTATGACGTTACCCTTGGCTGTCAAAGTTGTCAACCAAAAGAATAACCACGGTATTTACCGATAAATAATCATTCCAGGCTGAAAATCGCCTTTGGTTTAATATTGTCCTTGCGTTCGGTATTTTGCTCAAGGAGCAGACCGTGCTGAGCGGAACCGTAATCACGTGACCAGCGAGCGAACAGAGCAGTTGAACGCAGTATCCGAGTGCCCGAAATTTTAAAAAACGAACGCAAATGAGCTTGCTCCGAGTACATTTTTTGAATAAACGAACGGTAACTTCAGGCTCGGAGAACTCTGATTAAAATACCGAAAGCATAGTGTGTTATTTTTTGTGTTCACTGCGTATTTTGCTGCTTATCACTTAATTTTGTGAGTTTTGAGACTTAAAAAAACGCACACTCATATTAATTTAGAAATATTTTTGAAAGGAAATTTGTAAAAAGTTTGGGACGATGACTGATGACACAAGAAATTTAGGCTTATGGGCACATGTGTGCCAACAGTCGGCCATATTTGACACATCGTTGGATTGCCTAATTACTAATGTTTTTGGGATCATCGATACCTTTGTAAGCGTTTACGTTTTGCAAAACGAATTGCTTATTTAACTTCGTATTCTTCAAATTATGATTGTTCTAGTGGTTAATTAAAATCCGTTGATTTTAATCTGATACTCCAAAGGAATGTGAGCTGGGTGAAACCCAGATTAAAAACGACGGACAATACTTGTTGTTGTTGTTATCATTAGTCGTCAGCTGTTGTAATTTTTCTCAAATTATAATATTGTTGTGTGTAATTTTTGGTACTTGCAATTCTCCTCGATTTCTTTCTGACATTTGTCGATACTTTGCCTCATCTCTACTCTTTACCTTTAGAACAGCTAATTAATTTCATGTGGTGCTTCTTTCTTTCACGTTTGGTTCCGAGAAAAAGGTTTTTCTGAAGAAGTTGAATTATGTCTTTGCCTTTGAGGGATTTTGACCTTATATTTTCAATTATTGGATTTATGGTACATTGAGTTGCCTTACGTTGCGTTACGTTTTCGTAAAGTGCCATAATTTCGCCGATGATTTCGGATTTTTACAACCATGGATTCGGTAAGTTTTGAACGTTTTTTCCCACAAGGGATTCTAACCTTTTCTATTTGATCATTAGTGAAAAGCTGCCGCCCTAAGGAGTAGAGTAACGACCACCTCACTTACATTTTCAAGGCAAATAAAACCTATTCCAACAGGTGAGACATAACCTAATAATGACAGATTTTCTTTGCATACTTAAACCATATCCTCTTTTCTTTCAAATCTATCTAATTCTGCTTTTTATACACAAATTATTTAAATATTTTTCAAAAGCTATAGTTTTACCTAAAGTCTGTTTTTTTTTTTTAAAGATAATTCCCCAAGTCAAAAATTTAGTAACTCTGTTGGCAACACAAGCCTTTTCCACATAAAAAAATTGAAAGCATTGACAATTTTACATTACATTGCCAACATAATGCAATTTTGACTTTTATCTTAAAAAAAAACAGATTTTAGTAAATTAAGTATCAATGGTTGACTAAGTTACATTCATTCTCTCGTGGTTCATTTCAAAGTGCCTGGCCTTCGCTAAGGTTAAGTTACAAATACAGAGTGGTATAACAGTTTGTCCTTAGGGGTTTTACGTACGGCCACAAATCTAAGTATACGGCCAGCCATTTTAACTAAAGGCTACACATTTAAGTGTACGGTAACCTCCATCGGAGCCTACACAGTTGTAAGGCTACCTCTACCAGAGCATACACCTTTTTGGACGGTTATACCTTTGTTTTGGTACTGTTGAACCTTACGTCTGGTTTGACCATACTAGCTGCATTCTATAACCAGGACGAACCAGGTTAATTGAACCTGTTGCCATCACTTGAAACATATTGGTATCGTACTAGCTTTAGTTTAAGAACCCATTGTTGTCGTTTTAACTTTAAAATTATACATTTTGTCCCTATTTTGTGCGCCAAAGTGATCACCGCGGTACGTAAGGGTGTAATTTAGTAGGTACATGTACCAAGTGACAAGATAAACAACTATTAGGTGCATTCATTTTAGCTAGGCGTAACCTGTTTCATATGCATGATTAATTTGGTCTATTTAGCTTTCGTCACATCATTGTACTAAGGTTTGTGACTGGTAACCGTTCCAACAATATTTTTTTTTTTTTATTCCTATATTCTGTCTTCAACTTTAGGTTAACTCATTCGAGTTACCACAACATTTTGTATTTTGAATTTAAATTCAATTTTGATTATTATTTGGGAACTAAAATTGCTTTAAGATAGTTATTTATTATACAAGGGAAAAAAGTACTAGATTTTAGCGCGAGGTGTAGTTTGTCTCCCGACGAGAAGCGGAGGGAGACAAAACAGCGAGCGCTAAAATCTTACTTTTTTCCCATGTATAATACACTATTTTTTTCTGTGACGAGAAAATCTCAACATTTTCCATCTATCATCTATACATTATTCCTTTTGAGAAAAAAATTTCACTGGTACCTGTTACTTTTTTCCCTCGGGAAAAAAAATTGACTGGTACGTGTTACTTTTTTCCCGTGGAAAAAAAAAAATCACTTTTTTCCCATGGGAGAAAAAGTAACATTTTTGCCTTTGTCAACAGGTACAAAAAGTCTACTTTTTTCCCGTCACAAAAAAACATATATTTTTTTTGACTGTTTTCAACCAATGAAATTCGCTCAGACTGGTTTGTGATTTCTGCAGAAACAGACCTAATATATATATATTTTTTTTTTTAAATTTATATCAATAATTCGATCAAGTTTTAAGGGCCTGGTGCCAGATAAAATCCTAGAGAGTCAGACTCATATGTTCTGAGTCGGTGGGGCCCAAAACATAACCAGAATTGTTCAATTCTGAGGGCTTAATTTGTACTTTGACCTTCAGTCCTGCAATCTTGATTATTATTTATTTATTTTTATTTTTACTTTAAATTGTTCAACAGAGGAAAAGCGTGGCATTCTATACACTCCTGCATAACCTCTGACAGTCGTTGACCAATGGAATCATTGAAATTTTGTAGCAAAAATGTTGGAAAATTGTCAGGTCCCGGACTTGAATTTCTTTTCATGTCTTTCAATGCTTCCCTGACCCTTTTGTCTGTGAACTCTTTACTGTCAATTGAGTTATGCAGTCAGGTGTGTGCAAGAAGTTCGGGAAGGGTACCATTTTAGCTCTGAATGAATCATCTGTTGAACTAGCAAAACACTCTGCCATGGATTTTGGATCTAAAACTTCATTTATGCGGTCGGGTCTTTGAGAGTGATCGTTGTCACCTTGGAGTTTAAGTTCCTGCTTATATACTTGTAAATTATTCTTGGTGACTCCGATGTTACTAAGCCATGTTCAAATTTTCTGGCCTTATCAAGCAAATTTATCCATTTTTTTTGCCTATTCACTTTTGTAGGTTTCAATGGCATATATTTTTGTACTGCTTCATTTAAAATCATCTGAAAGCTCTTAAATTTAGTCTATCCTTATGTAGTTAGGTTTCTGTCTGATGTAGTTGTTGACATCTTCATATTTTTTATACTATACTAGTTTCTATATTTTTGTTCTTGTTCTTTCAATAGAAAAATATTTGCTTTCACTCAAGCAGCAAGAAAAACCCCTTTAATAATTGATATTGGTAAGATTGAAGAAATAACTCACCAGTGAAATAATAGCAAAAAGTGAACTTAATAAAGCCACAGTTTTCCAATACAGAATATATCCTGCCACGTAACTGAACAAAATTCCAAAGCTAGCACAGATAGGTCCCAAAGCTTGTAGGAATCCTCTTGTATTCGGTGTTGCAATTTCTCCCACATACGTGTAACTTGCAGTAGACATTCCTAAAATTCGAAATGTATAAAATAAACCAAAGTCCTACTCAATTATTGATTATATCCTTACCTCCAGCTATTCCAGTAATAAGTCTTCCAGCGTAGAGCCAGTAAATATTTTGTCCTAATCCTATTAGGACCCAGCCAATAACAAAGGGGATGCTGCTAATTTGTATCGCACGTTTTCTGCCGAGCCATTCGGCTAATACTCCAGACAGGATACTGCCGATCGGATTTGTAACAGCTCCTAAACTTGCTGCAAGTAAAATAAGTGATACTTTTATTGGTTTAAAATGTAGATAGTGAGAGTAATTAAATGTTATTATGTATTAAGATTTTCAATATTTAAATATGGCGTGCTGTACACTTTTGTTTAGCACGTTGGTACGTATACTGATTTTTTACTTGTTTTCGTCAGTAGACAGTTTCTATCTTGTTTCCATAACCCCAATAATATTAAGTTGTTGTTTTTCATGTTTTATATATTCCTACATTTTTCCGTTTTTCCACAATTGAAAAACGATTCGAGTTTACAATGAAGGGGCATTTTATTTCGCGCGACTGGACACTTAACCTGTTGTAAACAGACAACAGGTTAAGTGTCCAGTCGCGCCTGCTCAGAAAGTATAAGTCGTGTGCGTGTGGAATAAAAACGCGTGTAAAACGTTTTGGGTTTATCCCTTGGAAAACTATTGTGAAAAGCTGAAAAGCTCTGTACTATGGTTTGTCCCTGCAACACATAAACTGCAAAAACGGATAATACAATGGCTAATAAAGTTGACATTTCCATGCAGCGTTAATAAGTTTGATGGAACCAACTTTGGGCAATGGAAATTTCAGATGAAATGTGCGTTAGAGGCTAAAGGTATTTATGGGGTGATAGATGAGACTTTTTCCCAGGCATAACAACTCTCTAACTGATGAGCTTACAGCATGGTGCGAGAAGGATGCTAAAGCTATGTTTGTACTAACCGCAGCCATAAACGTTGATCAAATAACATTGATAGAAAGTTGTGAAAATGCAAAAGATGTTATGTCTACGTTAGAGTAAATCTTTGAACTGAAGTTAGAGTCAAATAAGATGATACTTCACGAGCATTTTCACCGATATAAGATGGCTACAAATAACAGCACAAAAATGCAGGTGACGACATAAGTAATCTGGGGAATTATGCAATGAATTAGTAAGAAGGTTTGGAACAGGCTTTGCGTAACTCAAATGATTCCAGAATGAGATGGCGCAAGGGCAGAAAATTTCACGGATCCCTCCCGTTCTCTCTCTTTAATCTTGGCCGCAAATATATATGTATTGAGTAAATAGGCAAGGGCCATTCCAAACCTTCTTACTACTTCATTGGAATTATGCCGAAACTATAAAGTAGGTACCTTGCCTATTAAGTATAGGAACGTAAGGCAGGCATGGTTGTCATTAGATTCCACCAAACAAACAATTGATAAATAAAGGATCGACTTTGGGATAAAGAAAGTAACCTCCAGAACTACGATGATCCCGAACAAGCTTTGGCAACAGTTGTAAGGTGATATTACCGTCAATAATAAAAAGGTAATGACCAACCAATTGTATTGTCAAGGGTGTTGTCAATTTTAAATAAAAATAGAACAGTCATATAATAGTTATTTACATTACAAGTGCGTTTATGAACATGATTACAATAACGAGTGTGAAAGATTAGAACGTCGTTGTCTACCTTCATTTTACCTTCACAGGTTTACCTTTGACATTTGTCAAATCACCAAAAATAGTTGTGTTATGCATTCATAGCACCACAAGTTGTGTTACGAATTCATAACCTAGTCCATAACACCACTGTTCTGTTGTGTGTCTCATGACACAACTCAAATACTAGAAAAATGGTTACGTAAAAACGTCATAACCAAACGCTTGTAGATAAAAAGTATTTATTTAATTATTATAATACAAGACATAGTGTCAGGTCAAAGAACCTTATTCGAATGGCAGAATGGAACCCTAAAGAATAACAGCGACAGTTGGAACTGTTGGAAGAGCTTAGAAAAATAGTAGTTGTATTACAAATTCAGGGATGTCAGAATCAAGACCATACACCTATTCAAAAAATGGTAACAAGTACTGTTAGCCAAATACCTACAATTCAGAAGTTGTTTTGATAAAGATGATTGGACGAAGTGGATAACATACTATGAAAAGTACAGAATAATTATTCTGTACTTACAGAATTAAATAAAGCTTCACAAAAATTGCACATGGAACCTGAAATTGATAGACTATTGGAACAATTGGACAAACCAGAGAGTGTTTTAGAAACATACGAAGAAATCAAATAAATGTTTGAACAACATTTTAGAATAAAAAATAAAATAATTTATGAACGAGCTAAATTTTACTTGAAACATCAACATGAAGGTGAAAGTACTTTGGAATACATAGAAATTTTATCAAAAATTATCGAAATCTTGTAATTATGGTAAATTAACAGACGAATTTATCAGAGATAGACTGGTTGTAGGTATATTAGATCACAAATTATCAGAGCAGCTTCAACTGGATGATAAATTGGATCTCAAGAAAGCTATAGAGAAGATTACACAATCAGAATTAATCCGAGAACAAACTAAAAATATAAGAAGTAAAATTGCAGGTATCTCTAATATAAATAAAATAAAAAAGAAGTATGCAAATAAAAAGGATAAAAGTTCACAATCAAGAAAACCAATTATAGAAAAAACTAGATGTTTTAGATGTGGAAATTCACCTTATGCATATAAAAATTGTCCTGCAAATGGAGAAATATTTTCAAAATGTAAAGTTGAAGGTCATTATTCCAAAATGTGTAGGTCAAAGTTTGTTAAAAGTGTAGAAGTTGACAGCACTGATAATGTAAGCGATGAATTATTAAATGGGGAATTATTTGAAAATACTGACACAGATTCTTCATATGAGTCAAACATTGCAAAAATTAAAAATTAATCACATGTTTCAAAACCATGGACAGTAAATTTAAATATTTTTAATAAGGATGTATGTTTTAAAATTGATTCTGGTGCAGATGAAACTGTGATAACTACAAAAAGCTTACAGGAATCTTAAGAAAAACAAAGATTTAAATTTGAAGCCAACAGAAACACGGTTGATGGGTCCAGGTGATTCAGAATTAAAAGTTAAAGGTGTAATTAAAGAGCTACTTATATATAATGGTGTTAAAAGGCATGTCAAAATGTTTGTCGTGAAAACCAGTGAGAATTTATTAGGTCGCCCAGCCCAGCTATTGAAAAATTAGAAATGATGCAGTGGGCTGTAGAAAATGTCAATCGAGTAATAAATGAAAATGAGAATAAAAATCTTCTAATGAAATCGGATTTAAAAGAAGAATATGGTAAAGTTTTTACTGGACTTGGTGAATCAGTGACAGTACAAACACCCAGACGCGTACCATTGCCTTTATTGGAGACTGTACGGTTAGAGCTTAATAATAATATGGTAAAAAAAAGGTGTTATTAAGGAAATCAACGAAGCTACAGAATAGTGTTTTCCGATGACAATAGTTAAAAAAATCAATGGAGTAAGAAATTGCACACATTTTATTGAATTAAATAGGTTTGTTGTCAGAGAAAGATTTTTTTGCCAACTGTAGAAGAAACCACAGCACAGTTGCAAGATGCTGATTTTTTTTCAAAATTAAATTGCAATAAGGGATTTTGGCAGTCGATGGCTAAGTAAACAAAGCCGAAAATATACTACATTCGTAACACCATTCGGCAGATTTGTTTATAAAAGATTACCTTTTGGCATTTCCAGTGGTCCAGAAATTTTTCAGAAAACTTTAAAGAATATATTTATGCAAGAAGGCCTGAACGATGTGCTTGTTCATGCGGATGATATTTTGGTTAAAGGACGTACCATTTCTGAAGATAATTAAAGGTCACAGCATGTGATGACAGTTTTACAAAAATATGGACTCACCTACATTAAATTTTGAGGTAAATGCGAAATCGGTATGAAAGAAATTAAGTATTTGGGAGTATGTATAAGTAAAAATGAAATAAGGCCAGATAATTCAAGTATAAAAGCTACCATAAACTATGTTGCACCAATAAATAAAACAGGAATAAGAAGGTTTTTGGGAATGTATACATATTTTTCAAAACCCATTAAAGATGCACCTTCAAAATCTAAAGTTTCAAGAGAATTACTACACGAAAAAAATAGTTTTGTTTGGAATAAAATTCATCAAAAATGCTCTGGAAATCTAAAACAGGAAATTATTTCAGCACCAGTTCTTGCCAATTATCAGACTAATTTTCCTAACAGAATAAGTGCAGACGCTAGTGCATATGGAATTGGAGGGATGTTGGAACAACAACAAGAAAATGGATTATGGAGACCTGTATATTTTTGTTCGAAATCTTTAAGTGATGCAGAAAGAAGATATGCACAAATTGAAGAAGAAACATTATCATTAACCTGGACAACCGAGAGGTTAGGACAATTTATGTTTGGGAGAAGACTTACTATAAGGACTGATCACAAACCTTTGGTAAGAATATTTAAAGATAAGCCAATTGGCCAATTAACGACTAGACTACAACGTTTTCGTATACGTCTTATGGAGTATCATTATGATGTAGAGTATGTTCCTGGAACAGAGTTTTATTGTCCAGATGCATTATCAAGAAGTCCTTTAGATGAAGGTCAAAATTCTAAAAATATTATATTAACAAACGTCTCCATTATAGACTCTATATCAAATGAATTTAGCGCATGGTCAGAATTCAAGTAGGACAGATTATCGATTACAACAAGAACAAGATGAAGTTTTGAAGATGGTGAAATCATATGTTATCAGTGAATGGCCTTCTAAACAAGATTGTCCTGAAAAATGTCTAATTTATTACAAATTTAAAGAAGATTTTGCTGTAGTCAACGAAATTTTGACACATCAAGATCGAATTGTAATACCCAAAAATTTAAGAAAAAAATTTCTAAGAGACTAGTCATTTTGAGTTAAGAAGATGTAAGGAGCCAGCAAAGGAAACACTTTGGTGGTCTTCAATAAATAATCATATTGAAGAAAAATAAATAACTGTAAAAAATGCCTTAAACATAAAAATCCAGGAGCTGAACCGATGATCTATTTAAATGTCCCTGTTTTACCTTGCACCAGATTTATTAGAATACCAAGGAAACCAATACCTACTTGGTTATACAGGATTATTATAGTCGATGGCCAGGAATGTTTTTATTGAAGAACTTAAAAT